TTTGTCTACGCATGCTTATTGTACCTAGAACTTTAGATGCCATATTGGTCAAATTAATCCCTCTGTAATTATCACAGGAAAACTTGTCTCTTTTCTTGTACATTGGAATGATCAGTGAGTTACACCAACCCAACGAGACTACTTCTGATTCCCATACTTTGCCTTACCCCTCGGTTAACGCACACAGTAAACTGTCTCCACCGTACTGAAATAACTCTGGAGTCATCCCATCAGGTGTCGCCCATTTGCGTCATTTCAGCAACCTCAGTTAGAGACGGAGGACCTGAATTTATATCCGACTTACAGAGGTGTTGGATGTTCTGTAGGTTGAGTGTGACTTTAGGCCAATGAAACGGCTCCTCAAAGTGTTCTCTACAGCGTTCTAGTTGTCTATCCTGGGAGCTAATTATGGTGCCATTTTTCTCAGAGATTGTTTCACTTATAGTTTGCCTTTTAAAACCTGTTTCCCCGATAAGCCTAAATAATTGTATGGTGTTACCAGTCGCCGATACCTTTTCCATCTCTTTCGCTTTTGTCGCCCACCACTGTTCACGGTCGTTGCGAGGACTCCTTGTTAGTTTACGTTTGAGTAGCTTTCGTTCTTCATCATAATTGGAGCTCGCCGGAATCAGTCTTCTTCCGTCAGTCAGTTCTGATGAGGTGGTAGAAATCCACTGACTTTTACTAACTTTTGGTTTCAGATTGTTAACAACTTTTACAACTGTGTCTACAGCTAACTGTATGTTGTGCAGGCTATCTCAGGGGGAGTCTTGCTGTCAACCTCAAATACACGTTTCACTATTTCCTCCTTATATAAAGGGACTCAGATTGTTGATCCAGTTGGGGACGTAACTGTTTCGCTGCCAACAATTTTTTATGTCCGTTTAGACGTAAGCATAAACTTGCGCGAACCAGGGTGTGATTGGAGTCTACGCACGTGTTCCAGAAGGAGCGGCAGTCTTCTACTGACCCTCGCTAAAGTTACCGCATCGCTATATGGTCTATTTAAGTCCAAAGTTGATCTGGTGATGGTGGTCGCTAGGTTAGACAGTGTCTACCTTTGCGCCTAAAGTTAGTGCTGACTAGGAACAGAGCCATTGATGAGAGCAAAATGAACTGAAAAATTAGAAAATTCAATGTTAGTGTGAGATGAATTATGTAGCATGTATTGCTTAATTATCGTCGTATATTCATTTCACCAATAACAATAGGGAACAATCATTACACTTTTAATTGTAATACCACTTACAGCTCTGTTGAACAGTTTCCATGCAAGTTATGCCTTTGGTAACTGTAAAGCAACTTTAAACCTTTTTATCTTGTTTATTTTCAAGATTCTGTCTGTTTTCGACATAGAACTTTGCACTGATGTGCGGCTGTTCAAGTCGCCACACTCCATGTAGCACACAAAGCAAGAGAAAAAGTAGGAGAAATGCATAATATAGACAGTAAACAGAGGTGTGAGACAAAGGAGTAGTAATAACGAAGAACGAACAGTTTCATCGGAAATCATAAGTCACAAGGAGTGGATGCATCTGCGCCACTGAGAACGATTTTGAGCCATGTCACCAATTGTTTCCAACCATTGATTTTTACCGTCCCGAGGACCCCAACCAGGAAGTCTACATCTCCCTACGTGACTTAGACTAACTGTTGTGGATTTCATTGACTGGTGCCATGTTTTCGTTTGACCGCCGCTAGCTCTTTTCCAGCCTGGCCCTATATCAGCTAACATTGCCCGTCGAGGAAGGCGATGACTAGGCATACGTAACACATGTCCCAACCATCTCAGTCGATGTAATTTCACAGTCTCATCGATTGATTTCCCCGCCTTACCTAGCACTCGACGCCTAACCTCAATATTGCTCACCTTATTATACCACTTCACGCGGGAGATGGAACGCAGACACCTATGATCGAAGACAGCTAATCTTTTCATGTCTTCTGCTCTCAATGGCCAGGTCTCACAGCCATAAAGGAGGACGGAGCGGACTGTTGAGCAGTACACACGCCCTTTGGTCGATAGTCGGATATCGCGTCTATGCCAGAGACGGCGTAAACTGGCGTATGCGAACCTAGCCCTCTGAATTCGTGCTGAGATTTCGTCGGCGATCAACCCGTTGGGGCTGATGGTACTTCCCAAGTAATTGAAGCGGTCAACGTGCTCTACCACTTCACTTCCTATTTCTAATCTACGGGTCGGTGAAGTCCAATCCTGCAGCATCATCTTACATTTTACAGGGGCGAATCGCATGCCAAACATTCTTAGATTGCAGCTCAAGGTGTTCAGTAGACTCTGCATTTTGTCAGAGTCCTCGCCTAGAAGGACTATATCGTCCGCATATTCTAAGTCAACGAGATTCTTCCCTGGTAGCAAGTCAATCCCTGAGTCGCTGAAGTGAGTTAGGGTTAAGTCCATTAGTACATCTATGATGAAGTTGAATAGGAATGGGGATAATGGGCATCCTTGACGGACGCCACTAGTCGTCACCACCTCAGATGACAACTCGCCATAGGCCCTCACCTGGCTGGATGAGTACGAGTAGACTGCCTTAATCAGTGCAATGTATTTTCTCGGCATTCCCTTTACAGCCAGGCATCGCCAGAGAACCTCCCGGTCGACAGAATCGAATGCCGCCTTTAGGTCAAGAAATATAATGATTGTCGGACGCCAGTAGGAATGCCTATTTTCTAGAATCTGTCAAAGGGTGAAGATATGATCAATACACCCTCTTCCTGGCCTTAAACCTGCCTGGTTTTCTCGTGTTTGTGTCTTCCGAGCACCACTTAGTCTACGCAGTATTATTGAGCCTAGGATTTTAGATACTATATTAGTCAAGCTAATCCCTCTGTGATTATCACAAGACGACTTGTCCCCCTTCTTGTATATCGGGATGATCAGTGACTTACACCAACCTGATGGCACTTCCTCTGATTCCCAGACGCTGCCTAGAACCTCAGTTAACGCAGACAGTAAACTGTCTCCACCATACTTAAATACCTCTGGAGTTATTCCATCAGGTCCCGCTGGTTTGCCTTGCTTCAGATTAGTGGCTGCTCTAGTAACCTCAGTTAGGGACGGAGGACCTGTGTCTATATCCCATTCAGGGAGGTGTTGGATGTCCGGCAGGCTAAGTGTGGATGTGGGCCAATTAAACTGCTCCTCGTAGTGTTCTTTCCAGCGCTCCAGACGTCTATCCTGGGAGCTAATTATGGTGCCATTTTTCTCAGAGATTGTTTCGCTTATCATTTGCCTTTTACCACCTGTTTCCCTGATAAGGCTGAATAGTTGTCTGGTGTTGCCTATCGCCGATGCTTTTTCCATCTCTTTCGCCTTTGTCACCCACCACTGTTCACGGTCCTTGCGGAGACTTTTCGTAAGTTTCCTTTTGTGCAGCTTTCGCTCCTCATTGAATTCGGAGCTCGCCGGAATAAGTCTTCTAGCATCTATCAGTTCGGATGAGGCAGTCGAAATCTAATGGTTTTTACTCACCTTTGGATTTACCTTATTCACAGCTTTTACAGCTGTATCTATGGCTGATTGAATATTCTTCCAGGCTTCTTCAGGGTCAGCGCAGCTGTCGAACTCAGATATGTGTTTAGCTAGTTCTTCCTCAAATAGGGACTTAGTTAGCTGATCGAGCTGGGGACGTGATGGTTTTACCGCCAGCTGTTTCCTACGTCCGTTCAGTCGTAAGCACACACGAGCGCGGACCAGTGCGTGATCGGTATCTACACACGTGTTCCAGAAGGAGCGGCAATCTCCTACCGAAAATTTCGCAGAGAACAACTAATTCTTCAAATCACCAAGTTTTTTAATAAAACTGATTATTGTAAGCAGTCGTTTCTGGACTGATGCTTCTATGCGCAGTTTATGATCATTTTTATTCATAAGACGGTCTACGACTAAGCTCAGTAGTAAATAAACACCAAAAAAGTGAGGCTGAAACTCCTTAATTAGTCAGATTTATAACCATTACTAATAGTACTTCTAATGTTCAGACTTATCCCGACTTTGGTTCAATAATTATCCATGTTCCTTGAATGACTAGTCTCTGAATACTTAAATTCAACTGCATAATATTTGTGACCATTCATTGAATTCAATTTCAGAAATACTGTTTTTATCCATAATTTGTAGTTCGTAGTTTCATGATTGAAACTAATGATAATAATAATAATATCCAGTCGGCTTTCCACTTGTTCTGGTATTGCAACTACACCCTATTGTTAACATTTCGCTAGAAAAAACTTACAGTGAATTGTTGAACACTCTAGTCATTTCAAAGTCAGTTCTTCGATAATGATACTTGAGTGATTCCTTTATCTACACAATTTAGACAGTTATATAAATCGAAGCAAGAGCTCGCACAAAATCTGAAGCGTAAAAAAATATTTGGAACTAAATCATATCCCTAATGTTATTCTTATTGTCATTAAATAAATCCGTCTTGAAATAGATGCACTTTCCCCTTCAGTTTTTACAGTCCAATAGAAGTTCATTTTTAGCAGACGATAACACGCCTTATCACAGTATTATTAGTTGATACTGTTGCAATAATCTGAGTCACTTCAAGAAATAAATTTTCCTAACCGCATACATCAATATCCTCCGTTTCAGACTGTTACCACCTGTACACACTAAAGAGAATTAAAACAACGTAAGAATATCAAGGTGCATCGGTGGCATAGTGGTTAGGACGCTCGCCGACCATGCACATGGTCCGGGGATCGATCCCCAGCGGACGCACTCCTTCACCTCGCTAAGCCAGAAATAATGCTGGTGAAGAGGAAAGGTTGGGCATGAGGCTAGCAACCCCATCCTGTAAAAATAAACACTGCTACAGAAACTTCAAGCTAGTGGCTTGAAGCCTTATGTTCCAGTGGGGAACGTGAAGGAAAAAAAAGAATATCAGGAGATAATCATTATTAATTTTGATTCATTTTCTGCATACCATACATAATAAAAAAATCACAGGAAAAGTGCAGTAATTAAAACAAAAAAATTACATTGAAATAACATTTAACATTGAAAAAACAAAAACAACATAGAACGAAAACATTATACATAAAATATACATATCCCTGAGAGATTTAAATAAATTTACATATAAAGAAAATAATGAGTAGTTTTCACATTGTTACATATAAAGTTAAATTATCAAAAATTAAAAAAAGGAAGAAAATAAAATAAAAAGGCATGAGATCGTGTACATTGAAAGATCACATTAATGTAAATAACTGAGGTAATTAATAATGAGGTAATTAGCATAAGCGATTCACAATCACCAATCGACTTGTTGTAAATCAGACCAATTAGAACCAATTTTCAATTTTACAGGTAATGGAATACTTAAGTTACACTGTTTACCGATATTTGACATTGTTTGTCGAATTAATAAACCGAATCGTTTAACAGATGATGCCGGAAAAACCTAAAACAAGACATACAAAATATTCACATGTAATGGAGATGATAATAATAATAAAAATACTAACAGAACTGTTAAGGGAAAATTTTGAAAAGAAATAAGAGAAGGTTAGCTTACCTCATAGATTAATTCATCATGTTCGTGTAGAACAAGATTAGCATAGCCCGACAGTTGACTGGAATTGAGAGCTTCATCAACTGCTAACATAGCTAGTTTGGCTATTTCTGCCGCACTACCTTGAATCATACTGTTAACAGCTTGACGTTCAGCCTGATGAAAGAAAAACAATACTTTCCATTTGAAAACCAACAATTGAAATATGATAAACTTTTAAAGCTGTCTAACAATGCAATGAACACTTGTAAACAGTATAAAGGCAGCTTGGAAGATAAATACTCAGAAACCTAAATAGCAAATATGACAACTTTTAATTGAACCAGTTATATAAGGAACTTCTATTACACTGAATGATACAAACATTTATCGTTGCTTTCTTGCACACTGAAAACACTACCTTCGTCGATGCTAATTATTCGTAAAATATAATGCATGTACAATTGTAGAACATGATGAGGAAGTTATCGAAAAGAATATTTTTCGCCCAATCATTTTGTCGTTTGTTCTCTGATTGTAAATAAAAAACTTTGACGTCTTTCAACACAGAAGCCTGATGTTACTTCAGTGAGGAAGTGAGGTAAAGAGTCAACAATAGTATTCAATAAGAAAACTTCAATATCTGAGTTTTTCTCCTTATCAAGTCTATTGTCATCTAACATTAAATATTCCAATACACAGGAAAAAGACTATCACATTATATTAGTATCACTGAATATATAGGTAATTCAGACGACGACTGACTGTATTAAAAACTTAGAATTTTGCACGAAAGCGCTACATCACCAAGCTTTTGTGTGCACAGCCGCATTGACAACCATTAGAAAACTAACCCCCATCCTCCTGAACCACTTGATACAGAAGTCAACTAAGCTATATATCAGTTCATCACATCTAGCAAAAGTTAGTAGCAGTGTATGTTACCATTTAATTTAGTGACCTGATCAACACAATTAGATACTGTCCAGAAAATTCAATTGATTACAGTGACTTTGGTCAGGTGTATCGACAGAGTCTGATTACAGATGGTAAAAAAAGACCTGGCGGCTTAAAAGAAAAAGCAATTCATTCCCAAGTTGTCACCTGAATGACAGTAGAATATTTTATAATTTCAAAAAAAATGTATAAGAAAAGAAAAAAGCTAAAAAACGCACCTTAACCACAGCGAAGTGGTGTCTAAATTCATTTTTCCTCGACCGACTGAAATCAAATTCATGATTTGTACCATTATCACACAATGTTTTGGCGGTCAAAGCTGGCAGAAGACGAATATGACCATTCAGTGTTTTAATTTGACCATCATGGTGAGCGGATGCAATAGTCGCTGTAATAAACTTTTGAACACCTAAATTTTAAAAATTCAAGTATATACATGATGAAAAAAAGCTTAATGTAATAATATGCAGTTATGAATAATTTGACACAATCGTAAGACGAAAATATTTTTCAAAATGGAATGACTTAATGCGAAAGACAGAAACTACTTAATCCATTGAAGTACTCTAGGGTTAAGCAAAAATAGTTCAAAGTAGCTCATAAGAGAGTTACAGTCAGGCTGTCAATAGAATTTAACGTGATGTAAACTCTGTAGAGAACCCAGACTATTCAGATGTGTATGTATTGAAATATACTATTATAATGCGGCAGAGCAAAACCAAAGTTACAATCTTACATACAGAGTGCGATAATTATGGACTATTTCTTGATCACAAAAACCAAACATTCAATACATGTTGCAACCATGACTTTATACTGTTGTTGGAGATGGGATAGATTATTTTACAACATACAGCATCGAATGTTCACAAAGGTTACTAATGGGTAGGTAACAAATTGGATTATAAAGTCTGTGCATGCGTTTGTACAATGTCCTAATGATAGCAATTAAAAGATAAGGAGAGATCATTTTTACTCCATCATTCCTGTGAAATTCGTTTTGATTATACTGAAGGAGACGATACCGAGATTTTTCCTTTCAACTGATGAATGTGACTTTGTTAGACTTTAATAGTGCTTATCATATTCGACTTTAAGGCAGAGGAAGCATTTTGAAGATTCTCTAGAATATATCAACAGATATTCTAGACACTAAGATTAAACTCTAAAGTGTTAACTTTTTATTATTCTTTTTAAAATGAGGTTTTTATTGTTTACATAACAAGTGCATTCCACTCAGCAAAGGTAAGTTGGTTGCAAATGTGCAAAAATCTTTTTCGGATTGGACGGTTTACTGAAAGGAAAAAGTTTTTGTACAAATGTCGAAGTTGACGAAAATACCTTTGATACTGCGATATATACAACCCATATACGGCATTTAGTGAGAGAGAGAGAGACATTACCAAGCGACTCCTTAATCGACGAAATCAATAAAGGAATACAACTAACTCTTTTTTTTCTCCTTCACGTTCCCCACTGGAACATAGGGCTTCAAGCTAGTGGCTTGAAGTTTCTGTAGCAGTGTTTATTTTACAGGATGGGGTTGCTAGCCTCATGCCCGACCTTTCCTCTGCACCAGCATTATTTCTGGCTTAGCGAGGTAAAGGAGTGCTTATAATGATATTCTTCTTAAATCTTTTACAAGTCACAAATTGATGCATGTCAGTCAGTTATTGAAGCTGAAAAACACGGACAGAATTATAAAAATAGAATATATTAATAATAATAATAATTTTATTCACCTGAATAAGTGTGTAGAAAGCTATCGATTAGCTTTTGTGCATTTTGTTCAGGTATATTTAATTGACTGGCTAATGTTTGAGCACCCATACCATATAAAATAGCATAACATAATTGTTTAGCTTGTTGGCGTTGAACATCGGTTACTTGATTTACATGAGGTATATTAAGCCAATGGGCGGCAAGCTGTAATTCAAAGATACATAATAAAATGTTCAGTATACTTTATATAAGCATGAACATGATAGAAATACTTATAGATACGCCTGTAATTCACACTCACAGTAGAATGCCATAGGTGATGAAAAGTATTTAATTACCACCAAGTACTTTCGCTTAATGATGGATTTTCGGAAATAGTCAGTCGCCACAGAGCGATGAATCACCCATCTGAATAGCTTCTACAGATGCAAAGCAAATGTTATGAAATACTCTGTTAGAATTTATGTCAAAGCCATTTTTATCATGACAGTCTATATCAACTTGGGTATCAGTTCGTTTTAGTTGTATAAACTACGAAATTGAGTTACTTAGAAAATGAATTTATCATAGTTAAAACACCAATATTTAAACTACTGGATCACTAGTAGAGGTTAAGAGCACTCTATTTTCATCTCCAAATGTAGAACAGTACATTCATTCATTATAGTTGTATTCTCTGACACTTATATAGATATGAATATACAAGAACGTAATATGATATTAAGTGTAAAAAATATAATACAAAAAATTTTGGACAATGTGAATAGAATCACCTTTTTGAATGCATCTGATTCTGATTTTGGCGCCATCGATTGATCAATATGACTTGAGGAGTCTACGGATAAAAGCTTTAAAAGTTCTACATCTTTGCTAAAATGTGCTAAAAGTCTTAGTTCAAGTTGACAGAAATCTGCAGAAATCAGTATACTGCCAGTAGGTGCCAAGAAGGCACGACGAGGTTTTATAATCTACAAGAATACCAAAATATCAAACAGAAAATGAAAGAAAAAACTGAAAGGAAAACAACAAAATAAAATAAGCAGCATGACACTGCAGGATATTTATATGCTTTTTGTGAACAACTACAAAAGCTCATAGTGTACATAAAAGCCTTCCCTAAGTCTGAGTAAACAATGTTATGATTCGAAGAGATGAAACTGATTCGAGATCTAAACAACTTTTTTAACTGAGGCTAGCAATCCAACCCCATAAATATAAAACCACTGCTACTGAAACTTCAAAGCTCAAACTTCAAGATCTATGTTCCACTCGGAACGCAAAGGAATACAATAATAATAACAACAAATCAGGGGCAGGGAGTTATGGTTATTGCATCCTCACCTAGTGTCTAAGAGTCTTATGTTCAACTAGAAATCTAGCTCGATAGTCCAACAATCGGAATTCAAACAGTCTCGTGGAAACTAGTCGTACGGTAACCCAGGAAAAGTGGTGAGGGTCAATTAGCGTGGTAGAAACTGAATGTTACTTTTACTTGACTATCGAGTAGAAATATAGTGCTTGCAGAATTTGAATCCTTACTGATGTGCGATATAACACTCAAATATAATCTATTCTGATGCTCTATGTTAAAATTCAAGGGTAACATAAATCCTACGGTATTATGTATAAATAAGAGGCGACTGCAACTATAAGCAAAATCATACTTAAATACTCCCAGTAGATTTAACTATATTGAGTAAAGATGCATTGTTAGGCCAACCTAAAACACAGGGTGATAAGTGAGTCATAAATTCCCAGGTTTTGGAATCCCTCACCAAGAAATATCATATTGTCAACCTAGGTGTACAGAGTTAAATGAGATTGAAGGAAAGTAAACACACACAAACTATATATATATATATATGATCTCCAACGTACTTCATTAAATTCGGGAAGTTCAGCTAACACTTTATCAAATGGTGATGGCCATAGCTGAGAAATATCTAAAGACTTATAAAGTAATTTAGGCCATTCAATAGTTATATCTTTTGGTACAGATTGTAAATTGGGCATAGTTGAAACAATACGACCAGTAGCTGTGTATACATCATATATAGGTGAAACACGTAATGGCTGAAATAAAGAAGTAAAAAAAAGAAGTTGAGTAAGAGTTTTAAAAAACAAAAGAAAATGATACAATGACGACAACTCATGGAATTTCAATGAATAAAAGTAATGTGAAATACTGAAGTGTATTCTAAATCGTAATCACTTTTATCATCATCGATAACAGGTCAAATGGATGAAGTTATTTGTGGAACCGTTCATGTAATTCAGCAAAAATATAACCAGATGCACTACAACTGATGATATAGTATTGTATAGATATTAGCACAGAAGGCTTCAAAACTCAAGCAAAGATGTAGAAATATGTCATCGTTGTATGCTAATCTAAAAATTTAAGATAATATACCAAGTATGTTGGCGATAGACATATCAAGTTGTTGAATTAACACTTTTTCCACGGTTCGTCTGCAGAGATTCGATTGATCTTGATTTTGATCACGAAGTGAAATCAATTGGAGGACCACTAAAACGTCTGGAGTAAAATGAACAGTTGTTTCAGTCACCTTAAATGTCTAATAAACAAAACTGTATGCGACTATTATTAGGAGGAAACATCTGTCCAGTACTCTCTGGTTGTACAATGGTTCTAGAAATAGTGTCACCCAGTGACCAAACCTATTATTTATTTATTTACTATCCCATACGATAATATACTTTTACCGAATACTCAAAGTATAAACGATATCTTGCGTCGGTGGCACAGTGGCTAGGATTCTCGCCGACCATGCACATGGTCCGGGGTTCGATCCCCTGCCGACGGACACCTGATATCTATGGTCGGCCTGCAAAATTTGGGCTACCGATATCACATGCTGAAAATTCCATACCTGTACCAAAAATACTGTCTGGTTTCAAGTTATAATCAGAAAAAATAAAATAATAAGTACGATTTCGATGTATCTTACACAATACAATCTGTTGCGTAGTTCCCATAAAAATACCATATAACGTCCTCTGACAATGTTGGAAAAGTAACTTTTGAAACAAATTTTAGTTAACGTATATATATGTATATATATATGTTCGTTAGAGAGTGATACTTACTGTGAGCGCTAATGAAACCGACTGGCTATTCATACTGCACTGGAAAAAACTACGTTCAAATCTGCGACTTGGCAGCTGCAGGTCACCTGTATACTAATAATAACTAGCATAAGCACTTACTAAACAATTGCATATTTAATATGCAACAGCATGTTGCATTTTGTCATCATAGAAGCCTGTACTTCATATGTTAAGAGTTATCCTAAAGTCTCTTTCTAAAAACTATCACCTTGTAATCCATTTGAGTGACAAGAGTTAAGTATTGATTTCATAAATCAATACGCAAATGAATGTTACTAAATTAATTGTGAAAGATACAGTTAGGGACTGTGATCCACTGGTCAAAAGTAGATATGCCTAAATAAGTGAATGAGCTACACGCCTGGAAAGATGAAGAATAATAACTGTGAAATGCACGATTTTGAAAGACAAATGTTTTCTTATTCATATAATCTGAGGAAGTATGTACAATTAATAATTGTCAAACAATCATGTTTCACTTACCTTTTCTCTATCAGAAATACAATTTCGACATGTTGAAACTAAAGAATTAAATATTTTTTCTAAAATACCATTTAGATGACGCCATTCGATAATAATAGCTGGTAATGGATGAACACCTGTGAGTTTTGACAGGACAGCATTAGTAGCTCTAGGCAGATGAGATGATTGTTTACGACCATTCAGTAATAAGGCTTGTTGATTACGTTTTCTTGTTAAAATAGTATCATTAGGATCTGATATCTGCGGTAGATGAAGCCATTTAAATAATACCTACATAAAGTAATATTTTGAAAAAAAAAAAACGCAAAACAAATAATATTGGAATGCGAACAGCAAGACTCGTATGAAATTTAAACCATGACATTATTAAATAAGTCGGAAATTCACATTTAACAGTTAGCCTTGTTATTCACTAGTCAAGTCATGACACTGAAAAATAATAATAAAGATAGTCAACACTATCTGAAATAATAATAAGTAATAGACTTGATTCTTTTTCATATATTTCTGTTTTACACATTATTTACGACATCCACAAAAATTATGGTATGCTGCAGTATCTCAGTACTATCCAATAATCGAATCCTAGTGATTTATATTCACCATTTAAAAACCATATGTCGCAAGAATTTTAAAATAAAATACCGCTGTAAACAAATAAAGCGGCAGACAAAGGAGCGTAGAATTTATTGAGTATAGACAGTTTGATTTCCACTTGTTTAAAATTCGACATTTCTAAATCACTTAGGAGAGAACAGTTTGAAGAAAAATGAAATAAAGTCATATAACGTCTCGGGTGTATTTTCAGAAAAGCCAAAATAATCAGAACACAATATGTGATTTTTCGTAACACTGGTCATTCTTATCAAGTTTGAGAATACTAATGTTGAATATTTATTAATTTCAGCTGAATATATATTCTTTGTTTTGTTAAATGTATACACAACCTAGCTGCTTGACGACTGACACTGTATAGAATAGTTGCTGTGCTAGTTGACAGTGAGTACTTTTAACATGAAAGGCTGTTTCAGTTATTTAGGGATCAGCTTATAAGTGATACAGACTGATATTAAGCACAGCATCAAATCGTTTCAAACCAACTCGGATCTGGCTAGCTACTGGCTGCTGATGACAACCAGTAGTGTTCACTGTCCAGTGGTGATACCCATTGTCTCCATTTCTGTTTAATTTCATCATAGATACACTAATGAGATTGACCCTAACTAGCTTCAGAGACTCAGGGATCGACTTATCACCAGGGCATAGTCTTGTCGACTTAGAATATGTGGGTGACTTATTCTATCTCGGTGAAGATGTTGACAAAGTGGAGAGTCGCCTGAACACTTTGAAAAGCTATTTTCGAATATTTGGCATGCGATTTTCTCCCATCAAGTATAAGATGATATTACAGGAATGCATTATATAGATTGCTAGCTCGAAGATAGGGAGTGAAATGGTAGAGCGTGTTGACCACATAACCTGTTCTGGAAGCTGTATCAACCACAACCGACTGATTACTGGTGAAATCTCAGCACGGATACGAAAGGCTCATTCGGCATTTACTAACGCAAGACATATCTGGCGTAGACGTGGTATCCGACTATCGACCAAAGGATGCGTATACTGCTCAGTACTTTGTCTCATCGTCCTTTATGCCTTAGAGAAAAGGCTAGCTTTCTTTGACCATAAGAGTCTGCGTTCTATCTTCCGTGTTAGGGTAAGTTATATGGAGGCTAGGTGTCGAGTGTAAGGTAAGGAGGGAAAATCAGTCGATGAGGTTGTGAAGCTATATCGGTTGAGATGGCTGGGGCATGTGCTAAGCATTCCTAGCCATGGCCTTCCTTTAAAGGGCAACGTTAGCAGACAGGATCAGATTGGAAAAGAGTTATGAGTGGTCCAAGCTGAGCTGTGCAAAGCAAGCATCACGACTAGGCAGTGGCAGCTAAAAGTGAAATTCGCGATATGCAGTCGACAGTTTAATAATACTAATACTAAGAATAACTATTTCAACATTACACGACAGTTACAGATAAATAAAGCAATAAATAATAAATACTTTAGATATTTCTTTCGGTGAATCCATAGGAAATGGTAAACCAGCTAGTCGGTGTGCAACACTTTCTAACTGTTTACAAGCACGAGTTAGTGAATCATGACATTTAATTAATTCGTCAATGTTGAGATCTGAAAAAGAAAGTCAAAGAGCAAACAAACATGAATTAAGATTTTTATGTGAGATTGATTTGGTTGAAAATTATATAATTGATATCTACAAATGGTTTAGAGAAATTATTAAATCCAGGCTTTCTTTTAAATCTTTGACATTTACCAGTAAAATGGGTTTGATAACTTGGAAGGACCGTTGAATCGGGATCCCTAGTATTATGCTGACTGATTATTAACATTCAGTAAAGTGTGGTAAGTTGCTACACAACTTAGCAGTGAATTAAAAATTTTCTGAAGACTAATTATGCTACCTGGCTAACTACTCAAACTTCGAACTATGGAGCTAGTTTCAAACTTTCGACCTACCACTGTTACACCTGATCATCGAAACAGAAAGATATGAACAGGCTACTTATTTTTCACCATATTTGTCTGTATTTGATATCCCATGTTACGTGATATAGCATGCACATTAACACCGAGGTTTACTGTAAACTGTTAGGTAAGAAGAGGAAATCAGTCAGGAATGTGTCGCTGCATCAATTAAGACGACTAGGACGAGTGTTGTGCATACCGAACAATCGCTTTTATCATCAAGCAATGTTAGCTGTAATAAGACTGTATTATGAAAGAGCTAGGGATGATGTCAGCAAAACATGGCATTAACCCAGTGACGTGTTTGACTGTTGGTTTGAGCCAATAAATATGATACTCTTTGGGCTACTACGACACAGGTAAGTTCCGAAGAAGTAAGCAGATACTGTCCATCGGTTGAGGCTTAGGACTTCCGAATAACAAGTATCTGATCCACACCCTCTAACTCTCTTACGGGTATCGTAACATTAAACATTCAGTGCAATTGATAGACCGGTCGACAACTGAATAACTGCACTATTACTTTAGTAATCCATAAAAATGTTTTAAAAGAAACAGTGGTATAACGCGTTCGAAGAGTTTGTTTTCCTTTGTTAAACGTCTACAATCACAGTGAGAAATTCAATGGAGTAAGAATATATGCAAAAATATATGCCTGTGAATGCAGAAGAACTTTTCAAACTAGTCACTGCATACAAGCATCAAGTAAATGAGCAAGAAGTTATTATCACAAGTGACATCATAACAATACTTAATTACTAAGCTTTCGGGGGTAAATGAAAAGTCTTAGTACAATTAATTCTGTTATCTGAAAACCATGAAATATGCTATATGATGGATTACTGTTACTTTGTATAATAAATTAAAGGATTATGTGAGATAGTTAAAAATAGGATACTTAAGCACACAAAAGGTATCCATAATTTACTCACTGAAACCATACGACTCCATTTTAGCCAGTAATGCTTGACAAGGCATTTCGATTGAACTGAGTATAGAATGATCAACTTCAGACAGGTAACTATTCAAATTTGTCCATAATGCTAGTAAGAAACATTGAGCTGCGGTTATATTTATATGATCAGGAAGACTGGATAACTGTTGTCCATTTAGATGGTTTGCAGGAGGACATTGATTAGGAGAACTAAGGTTGGGGATTTTAGACCAATCTGAAAACTGTGTTGGAGGTTCTAAAATGTGTAAAAGAGGTATCAAAAAGTCATATATGTGTTTTCGGACCACATACTTTCAAGCATGAAACAAAACACAAGCAAAAATCAACATCATGCATTCGCGAATCAAGTATTGGATTACATGACGGAAGATAAGGAAATGAAAATAAAACTATGGAAACCTGTGAAACATTATGGGACAAGAGAAGGGGGTTGCAACAAATAAAGAAATATGATAATAAATATTTATTCTGATTTGACTCGCATCACGTAAATTCCTCAACAAGTGATTTCGGTTACGTCACTGACCGTAATCAGTAAACTGACACTAACATATACGGCTCAGACTAACAGCCAATGACTTTGTAAGTCAATACCCCACTTTAGTCTGGTCATACTTGTCTTTATTTAACTTCAATCCCACATTAGATGTAGCTCATTCATTCAAGCAATCGGTCAAAGGTTTAGAGTGTGCTACACCTCTATATGTGGAGCACAAATAAGGAGCACTATCAGCCCCCGCGCGATACATTTGACTCCTAGTCTACTGTATGAATATGCATATGGTTGCTCAGAATGATTTTATTTTTATTTTGTATGTTTTTCAGACTGCTTAAAATTGAACTAACAATCTTTATTTCAAAATACTTTCAGGTTAATCCATGTGTCCCAAACCACTTGTAACCATGATAACTTTAAAGTACAGTCTTTCAGATGCTCACGAATCAATTAACCATCAGAACCACTTGTATCTACTAAAATTTAGGCATTTCATCAATTACTTAAATTTAAATTTCGAATATGTACAAATGTACAATTGTGTATATGCAGATATGACCATCTGAAATGACTAAATTAATTAAATAAAGGTCATCATCACAACTGTTGACATAATCACGTAAATTCACTTAAATTAATAAAAATCAGTTTACATTGCAACACGAATACTTTTTTTTGAAAAAAAAATGGTACACTAACAAATCTAACGTTAATAACTAGAATATAAAATGGAACAAACTTATTATTGACTGAATGCAATGGCATTGCATTGTTTGTACTGACACTTAGATGATGAAAAAAGAAACGTTTTTTTACAGTCTGTCCGTTTGATCTACCCAACAAAACAGTTAATAAACCTAACTCCTATTATACTTAGAACAACTACAAGACCAGCCGGTGAAAACTTTGGACAAATGAAATACAAATTTTAGCTACATTTGATAGGATCCCACACACTTTGTTATTGTTCAATTATCTTAACGACTGTTAATCTCGTATAAGTTGTATATTATCATTTCTCACGCATATTGTTATTGTTCAATTATCTTAATGACTGTTAATCTCGCATAAGTGGTATATCATCATTCCCACGCATTTTGTTATTGACTATTACGACCAATTATTTCAAATACTGTTAGCTGTCTCTATTGGTTGTAAAATTGTATAAATACCATTTCCTAAATAAGTCGTCGTCGTCGTAGTTTGTCGTAGTTGTTGTACTACAATACACAGTCACAGACCAGACTTTGTCTTTTGATATTTGCGTGGTTCGCTGAATCGGAAGGTACCAGAAGCAGATAGGCATATTAATCAGGCGCAGATAGAATAAGGCGACGCGGTTTATCTCAATTCATTACGGTTATAACAACATTACTAACTGTTAGGACAAATTTCAACTTTTGATCGACAAAACCAAGTGAGGTCTATGTAGTGATACTTGGTTTAGTGTAAAATGATCTGATCAACTGCTTAGTAAAAAAATGGTGACTGTAAACTGTTAGAATGCAACTTAAGTGCCTTTTAGTTTCATTACTCAGTGAACAAAACTTGCATTATTACTGTCAACCGTTATCAAACTTCTAGGAAAATACAGCTTAGAAATTGTTTAAAATTTAGTGGCCAGCGTCTGACTAGTCTGCAGGAGGATGCTTCATAGACCAATAGAAGGTTTTTAAACGCAAGGAATATCTTGAAAGGCTTTAGGATTGTTTGAAAATACCATTACTACACTCTCACATAAACAATCGGATAAACTAATATACGAGACTCGTATCGTCATTATCTACATACTTTCTTAAACAAAAACACTCAGTGTTTATGAAACCACGAATGACAATCCAGCCTTATTCTCCTAAAGATTTGAGTGTGTTAAATTAATCGTGGGAAATAGACGTCTTGAGTTAATTAAACAATTTATTATTTTCAGCTATTTTTGTCTAATCTTAATCCATACTTTGTTCAGAGTTTAAAAGTCGATACACCTTTCATTTCAAATTAAATATTGATTGACATCAATAGAAATAACTTAATGAGAAAATTCAAAATTATCGAACTGTCACTACTGTGTGAACTGATACTCTATATACATAGCATTAAAACAAACACAATGTCGACATAACGACAAAATACACATAGCAAATTAGGTGACCGTGTGAAAATGAAATTTACTGGTTGAAATTTGATAGACCACATGCATTTAGAGACATATTTGGTGAAATGTGGTAAAACTCGCAAAAACAAGCGTTATTAAGATTGCTGGTGCGTTGTTCAAACAAAAGAATTTGAAGACTTGAATAGTTTAACAACCAACATGAAATGGAGTTGCGGTTGCAGAACTGCCTAGATAGGTAATTTTAGACTATATTCTGTTAGTGGCTAGGTTATTCAACTGTATATAAAAGATTATGAATAAAGTATATGAACATTTTATTTGAAAAGCTTTTGAAGTATCAGTGTTGCATAGCAAATAAAAACACAGAGAAGACGGTAGTCTGGATAAAAGTGTTTGTCGAAAACTAACATCCATACAAATACATAAATTTGACAGCCTTTAATCCTATATCTGCCAGTATACAATTGTTGGAATATTTTACCTAATTAACAAAGACTTACGTTGGCAATTCAAAAAATTATTAAAAATTATTTCATCTTATCAAAGGCGTATTAATAACTCAAGATATGTATGTAGAAAGCCTTAATAGTTATATTCATGCGAAAAAGTCGAACACATTGATTATGTAGCCTAGCGATGAACCTTTTTATACTGATACATCGATGATTTGCATACACTACTGAGCGGAAGAGTTTAAAGCGGTTGAAGAACAATACAATCTTTCAGGATTTCATCATGAAGTGAAATCGGTTAGTAGACCATTGAAATACCTGGGAGTACTGGACAGCTGTTTCGTCCTAGTTTGAGACTCTTCATCAGTACTCACCCATCGAGGTCAGAACCCAGAACCTTCTAGTTACAAGGCGAGCTCGCAGACCAGTAAGTTACTGGGACCAAACTGGGATGAAACAGCTGTCCAGGTTTTCTAAAGGTCTCCTAACCGGTGTCAGGTCATGGTGAAATCCTGAAACCAATCACATCCTTGAAAACCAACAACTGAATACAATTTTTGTTTACCTGTTATCAGGGTACGTTGTATTCTGCTTCTGTGTCGAAACCATGAACAGATGTTGAATGCTGATGGTGAGTGAAAGAGGCATTTCATTTGATAAATATGAATCAACATACCCGTTTCTTGCAGAGTCAGCAGAAGGAGGTCGTTTAGCGCATCTATACGCGAAATATACAGATAGTTTTGCATTTTTTTCCTTCACGTTCCCCAGTGGAACATAAGGCTCCAAGCTAGTGGCTTGATGTTTCTGTAGCAGTGTTTATTTTACAGGATGGGGTTGCTAGCCTCATGCCCAACCTTTCTTCTTCACCAGCATTATTTCCGGCTTAGCGAGGTAAAGGAGTGCATCGGCCGGGGATCGAACCCCGGACCGTGTGCAGATAGTAGTCAGATTCTAACACACTAAGTAGAACTCCGTCGCTTACATCAATACCTAAGGAAAAAGAATCAAGAGCTTCTGATCTATGCAGCGAGCTTTGTCAGCTTTGTCAAGACAGGAAAATGAGAGCAATGACATCCTGTCAGTCGCATGGGAGGTAGCAACCGCTTAACTGCTGTCAAATTCATAAGCGATTAAAACAAACACGTAAGATGTTGAGGACTTTCGTAACCAAACAACCAATTCAAGCGTAGAAATACACTGTAATTCATAAAATATATCACTTACACTAAAATACACACAAAACGACTAAAATTGATAGAAGCAATATCGTAAAAAAAGACTTACCTAGAAGTTCAGCGAATGATGTAACCTTGCTCAGTAAATCAACAGTGTTGGCATTTAGTTTTTTTGCTTCATTCAACAAAGAACTTTGACCTAAATCTTGATTTTTTAACCAATTCACTAGATTCGGATTGTATATTTGAAATTTTATACCAATTGGTAGTTTGAATAAATCATAAACAATTCGATACCACCATTTAACATCCCAAAGAATTAAACCAATATTGTGATGACTTATGTAAAGAAATAAATCACGAATATCTGCTAAACATTTATTAACTGGAACTCTATTGACATCTTGAAGATATTTGTTTTAACGAAGAGAAAAAAAGAACAAAAATTAGATAACGAAGATAAAAAACTTACCGGCATTAAATTATTCAAAATACGACTGGGTTTGAAGAGATGAAGTGGGTGGCAGCACCAGTTGAATTAGTGGTTCTTATATAAAAGAACGTCTTTGTAACAACTGAAACCATACAAAATTTTATCCCGCCTAGTGTGAACAAATGGTGTGCAACATAATGAAGACCACTGCAAACAATCTCACAAATAAACAATCGGTCATTTCCCTGGGTAATTTATGTCAACTTGGATCGGTATCAGAACTTATCAGACAACTAATATAAAGAGCTAATGTGATTCGTATCCTTCTGCAACACATTGCATCTGCATCAGTTTACTAACTTCAATTATGCTGTTTCATGAAATGAAGAACAATTGTATTCAGCTATCTTCTTCCCCGAAATCTAACCATGAGTACAACATTGCATACACTGAATATTATGCCACATTTACCTCGCTTATTAGGTATGAAAACTCCCCACTTATTTGATTCCTATATATCTGGTAGTACTCCATTTGATCACATAGTAACTTTATACATTACTCAGGGCAAAACATTGACAAGCATCGGATATAACTAGATTAAGTCGTGATGTTTACCTTCTGACTGGTTTTGACTTCTTCATCCATTTCGCCTGTAGATAAAACGATGCTTCCTAGATAAGTGAAGCAAGTAACCTCATTCATATATCTCCCGTTGATGGTGATTGGTGCTTGTTGTTATTGGTTAGTTGGCTTTATCACCTCCGTCTTCTCCATTTTCGTCTGGAGTCCTATCTTCGCTCCCAACCTCATCTGCCAGTTTGTTGGTTATCCCTACAAGTCTTCGAGTTTGTGTGATATTAGACACATATCATCTGCGAAATCCAGATCGACTAGTCTCCTTATCGTTCGTCCAGCGTAATCCTGTCTTCTCACTCCCTGTGCACAGTCTGATGCATAATCCAGTTCACCACAATTAAGAATATCATCGGTGATAATAGGCAGCCAGACTTGTCTCACTCCTGTGTTCGATTCGAACGCCTCACTGAGTTTTCCATTGTGGATCGCCTCACACGTGGCATTGTCATATGATCAGCTGTTGAATGAGGTTGCTAAGGTCTTCGGCACTGCATGCCATTGTGTTGAAGCAGTTTCCAAATTACTTCTCGGTCAACGATGTGCTGTCTGGTGAAGGCCTTTTCGAAGTCAATGAAGTTGAGGTAGAGAGAGGTTTGACTGCCATTTTATGCTTCGTCCGATGACGATGCGTAGAGTTGCAATTTGCTCAGCACATGATTTGCCTTTCCTGAATCCATTTTGTTCTGGGTGATGGGCGGAGTTCTGTACCCAGTGAATCTTTTTTTTAATTTTTGATTTTTTAATTTTTGATTATAGCTTGATTCCACACAGTATTTTTGGTACAAGTATGGAATTCTCAGCATGTGATATCGGTAGCCCAAATTTTGCAGGCCGACCACTGATATTGGGTGTGCGTCTGCAGGGGATCGAACCACGGACCATGTACATGGTCGGCGAGAGTCCTAGCCGCTGTGCCACCGACGCAGGACGATGCGACTTAGTATTTTACTCGGCGTGGACAAGAGCATTATTCCACTCCAGTTCTTACAAAGTGAGGCGTAAGTCACCCTTCTTTGGCAGCTTGACGAAGTACCCAGCCTTTCTTCCAATAGGTAGGTATCTTTCCTTCTTTGCAAACCCTTTGCAGTAATGGCGTGAGCACATCTGCGGCAGCCTTTCGGTCCGTTTCCAGTGCTTTGGAGGCCATTCCGTCTGATCCTGCTGCCTTCCCGGCCGACGTTCAGCAACTTGATCGCATTTAGGTTTTCTGCTTTCGTTGCAGGATCGTGTCCACTGACAGGTAGTTCTGTGATTGCTGTTGGTGGCAGTGGTATATCTGGGCGAGTTGTAGATGATGATCGATTCAGGAGTCGTTTGAAGTGATCAATCCATTGTTTCGTTCGGTTCTTCTTGTTGGTTATCACGTTCCCATCTCATATAGGTTTCACCTGTGTTGATCTCTTCCTGGATAGAGACCTGGATATCTGATATAATGTTCTCAGGTCTGTTTCACCTGCGGCCTGCCTGTTCTGCTTTAGTTGCCAACCAGTGTGTCGTAGAATTGTCTTTTGTCTTTCCTAACACCCTTGTTCACTTCTTTCTTGATTCAGTGCAATGTACACCGAACTCAGATTCTCCCTGTGTTGTCCATCTTTGCATTGAGTAATCTTCTTTTTGACCATTCTCCTCTCCTCGCTTCTGTGAGTTCCAGTTAGGTGTCCGTTGAGAGCCATTCCTTTTCGTGTCTCTTCTCTCTTCCTAGAACAGTTGTACACGTTTCCTAAAGTAACATCATCAGAGAGTTCCAATGTTCTTCCAAGTAGGTTTCCTCGGTGACACCACGTAGTGTCTCCGAATTCACTCCGATGGTTGCAATGAAGGTATCTTTTGTAGTTTCGTCTTTCAGTTTCTGAATGCTGAACTTCAATTGTTTCCTGTCTTCACTTGTTTTGAAGTATTTCAGCTTCACTTTGAAGGTTCTTCGAACTAGATGTTGGTCTGAGTCCACGTATGCTCCTCCTCTTGACAATGTATCCAGCAGATTGCGTCTCCACTTTCTTGAGCAACGTTGAAATGAAGTCTATCTGGCTTGTGGTGTGTCCATCAGGTGAAATCCATGATGCCTTGTTGGTATCCTTGTGCTTGTACCCGCTGCCTCCAGTCACCAAATCATTGAAGGCTGAGAAGAGTTCTCCACTGTCTCCGAGCCTCAGCCTGTCGACACATGATGAGCTCTCTCCCTGTATCGTCTGCTCCCAGTCCGGCTGGCATTCATATCGCCCATTAGGATTTTGATGTCTGCATTTGGGATGTTGTTTATCACTGTTTGCAGTTGCCTCCTTCTTCTATTGTTCCGAGTTGTTTGTAAGACAATGTTTAGCATTGAATGATTGTAAGTTTTCTTTCTGCCGTCCTTCCTTCCTTGCCTCCCTCCTTTCGAGTTGAATCTTGCTGTCGTTAAGCTGCAGGAGGAGATTGGTTCCCACTGCCTTCGAGCTTTGGCTGGTGTTGGTGACATCATGATAGCCACTCACTACTGCCTCAGTGTGCTTGTGGTTGTCGTCTTGGTGACCAGACTGGAGTAGATTACTGAGTCTCCAGTTGACAATTTCGACAGTTCACATCCATTCCATGTGCTCTCTCAGACTCCGAGCAATTCCATAGCATATCTAGTCATCTGTTTGGCTACCTGTGTATCCTTCCGAGTCGCACACACTTTACGAACATTTGACGTTCCCATTCTTATTCTTGCTTTCATCGAGAGAAGATACATCGGTTGACTGTATTCACGAAAGATTTCACCAGCCGGCGTCATTTCGCTTTTCCGAGCGAAGAATAAGACTGTTATTTGAAGTTTTTGTATTTTGAATATACGTTCTGTGCGCTGAAGTTTCTCTAGTGGTTTGATAGGTTTAGTGGTGTAGGGCTAGCCCCACGCCCAACCCTCTCTTTACCCAGGCATGGGACCGGCTAGAAAACTAGCAAGCTAGTTAACTAGGCGAGGTTAAAGCCTTTTTGGTATTTCTAAATACATACCTAAATCAATCATTAATACGTGTCTATACAGTCTTCCATGAATAGACCAGTTACAAAAGGTTTTTTCAATGTAATTTTCTTAGTGGTGGTGTGCAAGTATGGAAGTAAATTCCCGGTTTCATATAGTGTATTTTATATGCAAAATGATATGTTTTCAACAAAGTGGAGAAATAAGTTACGTTTTGAAAGATTATAAGTTTTAATCGACACAGTGGCAGGGTAAATATAACTATTATTATGCAAAAGGGCAGCGAACAGAAAAATAATGCACAGAAACAAGTGAGAACGTGTGTAATTTTTTTTCAATATCAGTTTGTTTACTGAATGAATCACACAGTGATAAAGTATATCATAGGAAGAATGGGGTATTTTGCAGTCATATTACAAAGTTACCATGACCAATATTCATGACGAGATACTACACTGGTTACACTTCGTCATTTGATGACGGCATGTATCACCAACTTTTCACAAATATATGTTCATGAGTAGCCATATAGTCCCCAATCGATAAATTAAACTCAGGAAATAAACCTAGTTCATAAGAAGAACTAAAAAATAGTACTAGTAACAGTAATAATGCCTGAAAGATTATACAATCTTACCATTTTGTGAAACAAAATCAATCCAAAATACAACATTAGATCGGAGGCATACTGAAGAAAGTGATAACCCACTAAGGTACAAGTTGTAATCTGTGCACAGACTTTTTCCACCACCAGTAGCTGGATGTCCCCCAGGTCCAGAACGCCAAATTAAACATTCAAATGAATCCTTTCCATTAACATTATCTACTTGATTAGGGGAGTTCATGTTTACACTCCAACCAGGTTGTACAGCGATATAATGTGAATTAGTAGAATTTTGTTTACTTATTTCATCTATGCGTTTATACAGATCGTCAAGGAAAGTTTTCCAAAGAAAATATGATTGAGTTACATCAATGATAGAGAATAAATCATCTCTATTGTCACAGTTGTAGTCATCCTCATCATCACCATCATTTATATAATTGATACCAGTTTTAACGACTTCCACAGGTAAAACATCAGTCGGAAGGACATCAGCATCTATGAACATAAAAAATGCAGGCATACATTATTTATAACACTACCTAGAATAAATAGAAATTCAAAATTAATAATTTTTCCCCATCATTTGACAAAAGATGATTCATTGAATATTAATCGGGTCAATAGAGTAGTAAAAATGAATTATATAATTCAAGTGTGAATATCAGCGTTATTACTCGACGAGTTAGTTAATACTTACTCCATTAAACCTTCAATACTATGCTACATCGACTGAGATGGTTAGGACATGTGTTACGTATGCCTAGTCATCGCCTTCCTCGACGGGCAATGTTACCTGATATAGGGTCAGACTGGAAAAGAGCTAGCGGCGGTCAAACCAAAACATGACCTCATCAGTCAATGAAATCTACAACAGTTAGTCTAGGCCACGTAGGAAGGTGTAAACTTCCTGGTTGGGGTCCTCGGAACGGTAGAAACCAATGGTTGGAAACAATTGGTGACATGGCTCAAAATCGTTCTCAATGGCCGGTGCAGATGCATTCACTCCTTGTGACTTAGGATTTCCAATGAAACTATATTGTTCTTCGTTATTACTATCCCTTTGTCTCTCACCTCTGTTTACTGTCTATATTATGCATTTCTTCTATTGCTTTGTGTGCTACATGGAGTGTGGAGACTTGAACTGCCACACATATGTGCAAAGTTCTATGTCGAATACAGACAGACAGGCAGAATACTACGCAGGAGAAATAAACCTAAGCACCTTGTACGACATCTTACGTAGATGAAATAAAAATCCCAATTAACAGCCACCTGCATTTCTATGCATTAGACAATGTGCGACACCGATGGTATGACGGTGAATAATAAGTACTAACTATCTGACAAAAATAAGCAACTGGAGCGGAGTGTTAAATCCATTAGCCGGTGCCTGGTAATGCAGAGTTAGTCAGAACTACATATGTTTGGCATATCAGAAAGAGTTAATCAGTAGAAGAGTGTCTCCAGTTTTTACTTTCCTTTATCATTCATTTTTACCAAGCTCTGAAACTTTAACTTTTCATAACCTGAATTGATAAATTATTTTGATATATTTCCAAATGTGTCCCAAACAGGACGAAATGCGCATCCTGGATTCCACTGCCAGTCACCATCCACCAATCAAACTTACATTTTCAAATGCTTCGATAAGCCATAGTATTTAGAAAAAGACCGTTTTTGATGAATTTGTTTTATCTTATTATCATTTAAGAAGTGGCTACAATAACATCAAAGCGATTTACAGAAGTCAAATTTTAAGCATATTATAGATATTCAAAAACAGTATACTATGAATGAGTTCATATCATACTGTAAAATAAGTATAAATTATCTATAGAAGCATAAGCGAACATCTCCGACCCATTTAGTAATCCACTTTTAAAATGACAGTGTTCGAATGGGATCAAGACCGTTTTGGAGAATGAAAACAACATTCACAGTAGGATGCTGGCCACTGATCGAAATTCTCATTCAAAACAATTTACAGTCCTCAGGAAAACGACACAATCCCTAATGAATGCATGTTGTTTACCGTTAAAATATTCCTCAGGGATTTCAATCTACTTGTTTAGGTGTAAACTTTTCATCAACAAAGTAACTGAGACTGAAGAAATTGTTAAATGAATACCAATGAATCTGGGAAATAACAAACCAATGACTACTCTGCGCCACTGTGAGCCATTCCACTAGGAATCTTCACTGACTTCAAAGATGAGAAAACTGGAACCAGAAATATTTCAAGAATTTTAAACATTTGATTGTGCCGTTTGTAAAATGTTCAAAGAACTAATGCAAAATGAAATGTGATTAATTGTAGAAATTACGGAGGCATTGATAATTTTAAAAAATTACAGATGAGTCAAAAATGACACAAACTCACTTGCTGCACATCTAAGAGCTTCACCAAAATTACGGTTTTGACTACGCGAAGATGAATCCCTATAAAAGAAAACGGTAGAAAATGATGGATTAATAATATTCATACGTGTCAATTCTTATTGATTTTCAAGTATTGGTTTTTAGGAATTTTGTTTGATTAGTTGAAGGATTTCATCATGAGCTGACATCAGTTAGGGTACCATTGGAAAACCTGCAGGGAATACTGGACAGCTGTTTCGTCCTAGTTTGGTACTCTTCAGCAAAGTGATCGTGCTATGTCATGAAATGGCAGAAGTTATAATTCATGGACTAGCCACTGAATCGCTTCCTAGCTGCTTAATGGTCTACGAGCTCGCCTTGTAACCAGAAGGTCCTGGGTTCCAAACCTGGCGGTGGGTGCATACTGATGAACAGTCCCAAACTAGGATGAAACAGCTGTCCAGCACGCTCAGGTTTTCCAATGGTTCTTTAAGTGATGTCAGCTAATGATGAAATCCTCCAACCAATTCTTATTGAAGCAAAGCTAAGAACATCAGTGCATTGAAATGGAGATAACTTCAGATATATACTCATAAAACCAAGATTATCTAATTGCGTTGTTTTATTTCCCTTATGTTAACTTCAGTCTGTAATTTCTGAAAAACATTGCTTCACACAGTGAATTCTGGGTAGCAATTTTCGACGCTTGAAAAGTGGGGGCAAGGTTTATATTGTATTGGACAAGGTGATAGAAGGTTTACTGAAAACACGATAAACTTATTGCATACACTGGAAATCACCAGCGAGTCTTGATGCATAATTCAGTTCGGAAACAATTTTCTAGTCAGTCACTGGATGTTATCAAGTCAAAGTTTTAGTCAGAAACGTAGCTAAATTCACCAAAAGTATGATAGAAACTTACTGTGATTGTTTATTTGCTGGCAGATCAAATGTGAATGATGAGTTAAATAAATCACCGATACTCTTCCTCTCTGTGCCTAAAGCTGTATCGTCTTCATTGATAGATGTGGATGGATTAGCGCCAGGTGGTTGACTGGGGGAAACTAGTTTCTGTTTGTCTTCAAATTCAGTATCGAAAGTTATCTGTGACTACGATAAGAAAGAGGAATATTTAATGTTGTACAAAACAATATATTATCATGGTGAAATACAAAGAGACTCATCAAAACGTTTTGGTATTATGACGAACAAATCACATTTAATCAACATCAGAATACGAAAAGATGATGGTTCACTATATTTTTGCGAAATAAATTTGTCTACTGATTAACAATTTAAGTAAACACGGAATCACAATGTAAAATATCAAATACGAGGAAGGGTTTAAAAAAGAAATTCTAAATTTGTTGATTCACTGTAACAGATATGTTACACAACAGTTCTTTATGTTCCAGATAACATCGTTCAGATAAAGATACAAATCTACAACCAACTAGATAGCAACATGTAATCGGAATAAGCATCGGAGAGGAATCTTAACCTTGATGTTAGCTATATTTTTATGGTTTCGGATGTGAGTTTTAAAAATGACCGAAATCGATTACTTGGACATGTAGGTGAAGTATTTTAGAACGACTGGTACATATAAATTGTACATCCACTTTTATTATAACTTTCGCTTTCACGTTTCCTGTAGCTTTTTACTACTCATAATATTACCGTCTCAATATTTCACGTGGTTCAGGGTTTGATCCACCCCCGACTCACTCGTAAACCTCGCTAAGCCGGTAAGTAAGGCCGGCGAACAGGGAAGGTTGGGTGTGAGGCTTGCAACCCCACCCAGTAAAGTAAAAAATTTACCAATAGTGAAACTTCCAAGCCATAGCTTGAAGCTCTATGTTTCATTCGGAAAGTAAAGGAATAAAAATGAAAAAACCAGTGGGAAGCCCTAGATACATGACTCTTTAGTAGTCGAATCTACATATTATTTAACTGACACTCATAGTGAGTAGTTATCGGTTCGATATGAAAAATAAATACAAAAGAATTTCGTTTATGTCAATCTTTACACTTCTTTACAGAGAAATGAAAAAAACGACAACTATTTGTAATCATTAGTGATAATAATAATGATAATAATAAATTTAGGCGATAGAAATATTGAAAGATATTATGACACCAATAAATAGCATACTTACCATCATAAAATTTTGCAAGATTTGTGAATCAAAGTTCACGGCTAATTCTTCATTTTGTTTGGATGCTGTTTCATTAAAATTGTTATCATTATTATTGCCATTATTATTATTATTATTATTATTATTATTATTATTATTATTATTATTATTATTAGCTTTGGATGCAGCAAATGAACTTTCAAACATTGAAAATGTAAGCGTATCATTTAATTCGAATACATTATCACAGGATATTAATGAGGATGATAGAGTTGAAGATTCAGACTGTTCACTGCAAGCCTGTACAGATGTACAATGATTAACTGAAATATTCATCACACTGTTTTCTGTTTTTGTATTATCAACTATTGAAATTTGATTATCAACAATAGCTGCTAGTTGACTGGTTAAAATGAAAGACTGACTAGGCTGAGTGAAATTCTCTAAATCTTTAGAGATCATTGTATCCTGGAGGTGTGTGGATTTATTGCACTGTACGTCCAAAACTTGAGACTGAAATGTTAAAATTTGATCATCACAATGGTCGATATTACAATCTGTACTATTCTTCTGAGATGAAGCGCATTTTTTCTCATTGTTGCAAGTGTGATTCCCTGTGTTGTTACAACAGTCATCAGAAATAGAGTCATCACTAGCAAACGACAATCCTGTACATATGGTGCTGTTAGTAGTAGTAGTAGTGGTTGTGGGGGCAGTGGTGTTACTCGCCGTCGTCGTTGCCAACATCACTGATGTAAGAACAACATTCTCCTCAGGAACCTTTTTGCATTTCGCTCCGTGGTCTTCGCTTACAGAACTATTGGGACGCTTTCTATCCTCAGCAGAAACAAGATTCCTACCATGATCATCATTTACATTCATATCTCTGGAAGAAATTGTATTTTCCACTATTAATTGACTACTCTTCAACTCGTTTAATGTGTTTTTAATTTCAACAATAGCTTGTGATTGATGCACTGGTGAATCAGCAATAGTCGTGTTCTCCTTAGACTGTATCACTTTCTCATCTTCTTTGGATAGAATAACTAGATCTTTCCCATAAACTGAAGCTAAATCTATTTCCAATAATCGTTTGGCTTGCTCAATAATTAATGGTGCAGCTTCTTGTTCATTGATTACGTTCCCATCATCTAGTAGAATTGTACGACATGATGCTTTTGCAGAATTCTCACTGTTATTCTTTCTGTAATCATAGAAAAAGTCAAACATAGGTTATTTCTTGTGTGATTTTTATGATAATATAGCAATACTAATTGTGGAGCCATTGAAAACCATAAGCCTTTGAATTTTTATTTACTAGTGTAATTCATCATGTGTCCGTAATATGGTACAAATAATAATAGTGCAATTGTGCTTTTTACTGCGATTTTTCAAATATCCAGTATAGGCACTGCGTCATTTCGATTGTATATGTCGAGTGTGGATTTGATGAACAAAGATTAGGTGGTTAAACTCTCCCCCTTCTACCTAACCATACTACTCTTTTATATTTTTAACCTATTCCAATATACTGTGTGATTAAATGCAAATGAGTGCGTCGCAATGGCCGAGCTTTCTATTATGTAACATAATTCATCAAAGTCAATCACTCCTAATTTCTAATCATCTCAATGACACAAGTCTACTAGTTTGACCTAGGTAATCCACCTCACTATCATCACCTGTTATTTTAGTTTTTAAATTATTTTAACTTTGGTAATTGAATCTATCGGGTTGTTAAGCCGAGAAAGTCTGCTTCAAACTTCGTTGGTAGACATAAATAAGTTACTGAGTGGTGTGAATACAATCCTTGCTAAGTAAATAAATAATACGGCTTCACTATTACAACAAATAATGTATCTAGTATGGGATTTTAAAAAGAGGTAAAAATTAAGCCAATCATGCTTATTTGCTAATGGGATGATAAGATTTCGCACACACAGTGTGAACAATGTTCTTTTCAGTATGATCTCATCAGGTTTTACCCTTCTAAAGATAACTTCATAGTGACTTACCAATAAGGTAGTAAGAATGTCTTTAAATATAAAAAATAAGGTTTTCGAAAGGAAAAATTAGACCAACAAATAGTTCAATTCTAGATCACCTTGTTCTCCCAAATCATTCCGCATCAACAGAACAATCTTTCAAAGTGATATATGGCGTACGGCCAAGTCGTTCGACAAGTTTCCAACTACATTTTCTGCCCACAGCAGAAGGTTTTGCTATACCTAAGGAAAATCTTGCACTGTGTATGTAGGCGAGGTTTATCTAATCCCTTTTACTACCGCGGCTTAAGGCCACGGTCCCTTCTTTAACTCACACACATAACAATGGTATCTAATGTATTTGGTTTTTATCTTGGTCTTATTTGCCTCCTTTTAGACTCCTAACATTAAATATACTTTGTAAATATTCCTAACCTCTTACCATCCTTTTAAACCATGTTCTTGTTTCTGAGGCCCTGTCAGTTATAATTTCCTACAATGGTAACCATTTCTGAGCGATGATCATCACTTATCGTCTTTAGATTACGTGACTTATTTTGCTTGACGTTTATATTCATATGTCTCGTTACTAACTGATATGGACTAATTGACCTTAAACGGTAATCCCCTGACCCTTTACAGCAATATTATGTAACTGCACTACGTTGGAGTGAAGTTACATAACGAATATTCTTTACTGAGCTGTCTCTTTGATTTGTGTCACATGGGTATTTTTCATACTACAAAAAGAATCCATTATGTCAAATATAACTAAAGCAGATTATTCTGACTAGACAATAAAGTAGCAGTATATTTTAGGGATTCTGTAAACAATTCTTTCTAAATATATATTCCTTACACAATTTGTAATTATTAAAATAAACAGCAACTGATTACTAGTTTTGACCTCGGAGGTGTAACTGTCACACACGATAACATGCAAGATGAAAATTAAGTACGTAGCATATTTAACAGAAAGTTCAAACATAAAAATAAACACATTTATTCTATTCTATTCCACGAATTGTCAAAGTAGACGTAACACGAATACACTAGAAATTCCTATGTGATTTTTCACTTCACTAACAAACCGAACTACATAGACTTATGTCATCATCGCTAGGAGAAATTCGAAACATGACAACAGTAACTAACCGACTATTCAGCAAAAACGTCTACTTTAAAAGGCAAAAAAGAATAAATGAACTGATAAAAAATTGACACAAGGTGTATTGACTCACCGTTCAAAAGGTATTGGCTACGGTTTGTAAAACCCTTGAAATATCTTGAGAACGTGCAGTAGCCAACGACGATACAGAAGTATAACCAGCTGCGTATAAAGCCCGAGCACGTTCAGCATTAACCAGAGGTAGTAAACGTATCAAGTCAACAAGTTCTTCAGAAACACCATAGCATAAACGTGACTGGAAATTCGCTATTATACGTTCCATATGACTCCAACCAAGACGATTACAAAAGATAGTTACCATACCTATGATATTAATATATGAATGTTCACAGAATTATTTCCAGTGATAAACTTCAACAAAGCAGGAAGAATATAGTGAGCGGGATAAAATGATGCCATCTTATTTCGTTGGTCCGTGTCAACTGCATACAACCATCAATAATTCAATATCAAAATATAAAATATTCAAACACTTTAGTTATTGGTCATAAAGGTGAAGAGGATTCATATCATGTGATTAAGTTGCATAATAATGGGAAGGAATGCAATTATGAGTCGATGTCAAGTTCGTTAGCTATGCAGTGAGAACAATTCGAATAATAATGTTACTTTAGAATTACGAATGAATGCTACAAAGTGAATAGAGCTGTAAGGTCAGACAAACAGAAAGAAGATTACCCACACCTGTATCAGTAAGCATCAAAATACCTTTAGTAGTACATTGCTCACCACCTGTTAGACTAGATTTCATTGCAATAACGAGAACAATTAAATCCACGTAAGTTAACTAAAACCGTCAAACACACCACCAGTCAACAAGGTATCACTGACA